GGAATTTTCAATGAGTTTTCACAAATTGCCCATAACAATCAAATATGTCTTTCAAGTGAAGTCATACTCAGAAGAAACCTGGGGGATACTGTGAGTTGCACTGGTTTCTGTAAATTGCAAGTGAAAAGGACCAAGCTATCAATTTTTTCATCACAAAGTGGGGTAGGATCAATGGATCCTTCTCTCTCACATGGTCTCCACAGGTCTCAAGAAACTTAGAAAAGCACAGAAACTTAAGCTGTCATTGAAAACAACGTGATTAACAGCAAGTCTGTGAAGAGCAAAACCACAGAAGTGTGGCCGTTCCTGAATACTTTCTGTATAAAGACGTTTTAAATCAATGGAATTTGAACTTCTGCTTAGACTGAAAAAGGTCAAAATAAACAAATACATAAGCAACAAATTGAAATAACAGAAATATAACAATCTGACATTCCACATTTTGTGTTCTTGCTGAGGTCAACAAAAGAAGTGAGATTTATTTTCTTTGTATTGTACATATGTTTGCATCACAATGTCAGTGTGGCCACATTTCTAAAAGTCACTGTAATTTTTTAACCATTCCTTTACAATGCTCTGAATTATTCTAGTGAGACAAGCCTTTCTGCTTTTCTTTCTTTTTTTTTTCTCTGTAAGATGAACTATGGGGATTCCTGCTGAATGAGTGATTATTTCCAGCTGTGTTAATAAATTTTCTGAAAAGACAACAAGGAATTGTTTAGATGTTGTGTTTTAACTGTCCAAAAATCAATTTTAAATTTTTAAAGGAGATGTCTATTATTGGTTGCAAAGAAGTAGCAATTATACTGTGGGAAACAAATCTTTATGAGGAATGGAGAAGGAGCAGCCCAGAAACATTTCTGTGATTCATATCTTTTTCAGGAGTCTTTCCTTAAGAAGGGCACTTCAGATGAAAATCCTTCCCTTTTTTAAAAAGTGCAGGACTTTATGCCATGTTTGGTTTTAAACTTAGCCTTGTCTCTTCCCCCACAGTGAAGCCATATGGTTTGAATTAAAGAAACAAAGTACGAAGTAATAACTGTATTTTTAAGATGTTGCTCAGGAATACATCCATTAATGAGAATAGCTAATGTAAAGAAGCAGCCTCACATAACAAAAAGGCTGAACTCCAAAACAATTCTTTATCCATTCAAAAAGTAAACTTGTATAAACACTTATTTAGTAGAGATAGAACTATCAGCTCTGCAGAATCAAGATTTTTATATGAATTCCTGTGGTTTGCTTTTTTTTCAGACAGTGTTTATCAAAACACTGTTTAGAGCAATTATTTAGTCCATAGATCTTTGTCTCTGCATCCAGTGAACTTCTAGAGTCTCCACTTCCAGAGGTAAATTATAGCCCTGAGCTCCAGAGCTGGTTTAGCTGATCTGATCATTCAGAAAACTGTTGGAATTTGTTCCAAAGAAAAATTTGTTCCAAAGAATTCCATTTGTTCTGGTTGTATTTGCAGTAATCTTTATTTGGGTGAGGACAACGAGGTGTTTCACTAAGTGAAAGGAGTTGTATAAATGTAGTGGAGGGATCCACATGCAGGTAATGTCTTAACATTACCCAAATGCAATCAGTGGTAGCTAGATCAATATTTATCATAACAATAATTATCTGAACAATTGTCTGGATTCCAAGAGAAAGTGGCAGTGTGTAAACCCTATTAATCCCATGAGGAGACGTATCTCCTAGCAAGGAAATGTATTTCAGAGTTTCATTTAGCCTCAAGAGTATTGCATCAGAAAAACAAAGACTTGGGTATCAGAGTTAAAAATTTATATCTTCAAAACCCCTGCAGTACTTCTCTACAGCACAAAAGGGAGTTCCTCCATGCCAATTTTCCAGCAATGAAGTTCCCTCAGGAGTTAAGTGTATGTTTTGTGTACAGTCTGTTGCTACCTAGTGCATGTAGCTAAGCTACACTGAGATCTCTCTTTTAAGCAAATATCTACTGAACTCAGTGGTAAGACCAGGTACATTTTGTATTCAATGAATCTGGTTCAATGTACAAGATAATTTGCCCTTTAAACAATAGTTCAAACACCTGTGTTCAAGTTCATTTTCTGGTCATGAGTTTTTGAACTCACATCTATTATGATTGCTTAAATTAGCTACATAATGCTATAGGATGTAGTTTTAACCTTTTCATTGCAAAATGGGATGGCTTTATGTAGTAATTAGAAAAAGGCAATAACTTTTGGACTAGACCACTTGTCTAGATCAGGGAAGGAAAAGAAAGAAAGAAAAACTTAGGTTCTTCCATCTACTCTTGTGAGTCATTAAATATCCAAACAATAAATGGGATTACCCAAACCCAGGTGAATGCTTAAACATCAAAAGCAAGAAGAGACACAATGTAAATGTGTAAACATTCAATGCAAAGAGCAACACTTCAAACACAAGGAATTAAGAGAACCCCATCCCATGCTGAGGCCAAAGTTGATCCCTCTTTTGCAGCTGTGTTGGCGTCTCTTCCCTGTGAGCTGAACTGCTTGTAATGATTCAGGCACCTTTTCCTTTAGCTGTTGGGGGTTTCATTCAAGGATTAGGTCTCTGAAGATAGATAGAAAGCCAGTCATTTAAAATCTAGGGGATTTTTGGGAAGCTGGTCCCTATAATGTTGCAGCTGGATCCTCTTTCCCCTCTCACGCTGCAGGTCAGCTACATTCCTGCAGTACAGCTCAAAGGAACTGGTCATGCTTTGCCAGAGTGATGGGCTGAGAGAGAGGACAGGACAGCTGGGTGAACTTCCACAGAGGGTCAGCAGTGTCAAACTGCAGAAAGAGAAATGATGGTTATTCCTGAAAAAGCTGGGGACAAGGAGAGAGGGGAGAGGGCAATCACAGGGATTGCATTATACAGTCCATTCTGAAGGGAAAAATATAGGAAGAAGGGGAAACAATCAAAATATTAAAAGGCCTTTAAATTTTTAAAATAATTGTATATTTACTTACTAGAAGTCTGCTTAGTAAGATGAGGTCATGCAGTCAAACTTTTTAGTAGGGCCTGTAGCAGCAGGCCAAGGGGCAATGGCTTTAAACTGAAAGAGGATAGATTTAGATTACATATAAGGAACAAATCTTATATGGTGAAACACTGGCACAGATTGCTCAGAAGGTGGTGGATGCACCATCCCTGGAAATATTCAAGGTCAGGTTGGACAGAGCTCTGAGCAGCCTGGTCCAGTGGAAGATGACCCTGCTCACTTTAGGGGGTTGAACTACATGATATTTAAAGGTGCATTCCAACTGAAACTATTGTGTGATTCTAGGAATAAGAGAGAAGGGAGGAAGCTGGAAAGTGAAGAGTCACTTGAAAAGGAAAGAGAGGGTTAAGGCAATAAGAAGAACCCAGACAGGAAATGAAAGATGAAACTCAAGGACAAAAGGACTTTTAATTCTGTATCAATTACAGACGTGTCAGCCTCTTCAGTCAGTGAGTAATATCCATTCTTGTCAAATGATCTGCTACCGTTATCTGCTGATAAGATTGTAGTAGAGGTGTGGGGGGGAAATTGCTACTTTTTGGTTGCGTTTGCAGGTTCTTCAAAAAGTGGCAAAATTACCAAGGGTGTCAAATAACCCGCAGGGCAGGTGTGCTTGGCACAGGCAGGGGGTCTGTGGAAGCTCACGCCATGTTTTTCCAGCCACTGCTGTTCAGACTATCTGCAGATGCAGCAAGGAAAGACTGGCTATATTTAATGGGAAAAATGCAAAGAAACTAGATGGATTTCACCAAAGCTAGGTAGAACTTCTCCTTCCATGCCTTTTGACTTGTGTTGTGCAAGACAGCATTTCTGACTTGCTGGCACAGATGTTTCCTTTTACATGTGTGTCTCCAGTGGTGTTCAGGCTGACATGGAGCTGTGTAAGCAGGACCTCCTGGAGTCCGTGTCACGGAGCTGACTCAGCTTGCAAGCGAACACTTCTCCCTGTTCACCAACCCTGCAGAGTCAGATGGAGTTCCTGGAGGAATTCTGCAAGTTTCTTGACCCATGCCCAGAAACACAGGTTCTGTAGGCTAGATTTGCCCTTCAGCAGTCCTATACAACTGCTCTTTTCTGAAATTCTGACGTCTTTTGCAACCACAACATCTCTGCAAGATTTTTCAACTGTTTTGCAGTTATAACTTAGTTGTCAACATTTCATCCACTTGCATGAATAGTTTGTTGCTCTGCTGCTAATCTCTACCTTATCTAACTATTCAGTGGGTACTAAACTGAGCGACAAAAATGCAGAGCTGAAAGTCTAAACCCTGGTGAGGCAATCCAGTTATCAAAGACATGCCACATGCCTGCAGTATGTGATGCTATCAGAGCTTTTCCATGAGTTCCCAATCTTACTTTTGCATATTTCTGTGAGCTGGATATTAATGGCAGCTTTCTGCATCTGTCAGATGCTAACTCAGAAACAAAAAAGAGATTGTAGTTCCTGTCTAAAAGGCTGTGGGACACTGGCAAGGATTCAGGGAGCTGTTTGCCCTGCTATGAAACCCTGTTTGAGAAGGTAGAAGCGGGGTCCTGATTAACCTATGGACAATGTTCTGCCTCAGCAGAGAGAATGCAGGGGCCTGTGCAACCCTTGAGCGTGCACATCTCTACCACACTGTAGCAAAAGGCAGGACAAGAGAGGTCCAAGTTTATCCCTATGTGACAAAGAGGAACTTAAGGTCAGTATTGCCTTTATTAAAGACTGTGAACACCTGTCCAGATGAATTCAGCATTAAATGGCAGCAGTCCTGGGGTGCTTTTCATAAGTAGGTCTGGGAGCACTTCACAGAGGCAAGCACTGCAATTCTGAGCACAGAACTCTGGGTAACAAAGCCTTTCCACAGACATATTTCTGGTAGATCTTTGTTAAAGTCACTTCTCTCCACGTGGCGTCAGTTTGAGATTTACATGCAAAGTGCACGAAGGAGGGAGGCGGCTGCCTGTTGCTGTTACCAACCCAGGGCTGAGTGCCTCTGCACTTTGCAGTGCGTGGTTGGAGCTGCAGCCCTGCAGCTCTCCCCTCACCACCACCATTTCCTGTTGCACTCATTTGAACAGACAATGTTCCTGAGGAAGTTATGAAGACGGCAAGTAAGTTGCTGCCCTAATTTCTTTGTGTTTGGTTAAGAGTGCTTTCTTATTTATGCTGGTTAGAGCTTAGTTACGGCGCTTCTCTAACATTTGGAGGGATGAGAAGCTTGTGCTTCCGGAGACCATATGGGCAAAACTGTGCATTCTGCAGTGCCCTCAGCATGTTGCTCAGAAACAGCTGCAGAAGATTCAAGGCAGCTCTTTTCTCACTGGTGCTGAAACTGTGAGGGAAATGACTTAAATATTGAGTTGCAAGACCCTGCTGCAGCTGTGATGTCAGATAAGAAAATGTAACTGTTGGTAAATCTGCTGTATGACTGTAAATGTTTCTTAAAGGCAGTAACTGGAAAAAGCAATTTCACATGTTTAAGCCAGCACTATTTTTTTAAAGTGCTTAATTATTTACGCCTTCAGATGGACTCTCCCAGCAGCTGAGAAGTGTGTGCTAGAGAGCTCCCTGGCACCTCACAAAACAGGGCTCTCACTAGGAAGGATGTCTGTACCTTTCAGCTGACAGCCATGGCTTCCTGCCTTTGTTTGGGGAGATGATGCAGTGGAGGGAAGCAGCAAGATTGCTGTCTGCCTGAGGAGCAGATAACCTGCACAACTTGCAGCGGGGATCAGGGGACGGCTTTGGCTTTGCCTGCCCTCTGTCACGACAGCAGCTGCCTTGCTGGTTACAGCTCCCAAGTGTGCAGGGGGCTGGACACAGCTCTGGAGCAAGGGGATTATCCAGAGAGAATATTAGGTGCTATCCTTTCTTTTCTGGGCACACAGGAAATGTTGTGGGAAAAGCTGAGTTGCTAGGCAGTTGTTTTGCTGGTAATGCGGGAAGGAAGCCAGCACAGAGCGAGCCACAGAGGGGCCGTTCTTCTCAGGCCACAGAGGAGCACAGCCCCAGAGGGTTCTGTGCCCTCCCAGTTCTCCTCTGTGCCTGGAAACCCTGGATGCCATGTATCACTGCTTTTAAAACTGATAAATCAATTGTGGCGCTCTTCTTTCCACACACCCAAAAAGTTTTAATTTCTTTAACATCTGTCTGATCAGTTCTTAAGTTTCAGTTTGCTAAAGCAAATCTTCTGTTGTTACTTCTAGAAAAAGTGAGATTTAGAAAAGGAAAGAAAGCGATTAACTTGGAAAGTGGCAAATGCAAAAAAAAAAAAAAAAGAGTAAAAATTATGATCTAGTGTGTGAAATGAATAATAGAGAAAATAAATTCTTTAGCTGTATACTCATCAATGATACTTCAGGTTTTGCTGCAGCATCACTTTAAGGATTTATTCTGCTTAAGGTTAAGTAAAGTAAAATATTCCCCTAAACGCACTAATTTAAATCATGAAGTGATATGTGAGGGCCCAAGACATTCCTTGTAGTTTATGTGAAGAATTGCAAAAATGCAGAGACTTAAAATGGTGAGACTTACTAGCCTTAGTAATCGGCACTAATTTCCATTTCTGAGACCAAGTAGAGAGAAATGCACAGTCCTTGTGCATCACAGTGTATTTCAGTGAGCTGTGAGAGTTAGGTACTTCAGCTGCAGAATTAGGAACACAATGCCAGACAGTGGGAAGCCAGAAAGGTGCTCTTCAGGAGAGTCACAGACACGATACGGACACTCTGATGTGAAGAACACAGACGGTGTTTTTCAATGCCACTACTCATCTTGTCTCCCCTGCCTCCTGTGAGTCTCTAAAAGGTTTTGTGTAAGAGAAACTACCCTTAGGTTTGGTGCTCCTGGCATCACCACTGACAGTGCCAGCAGGGTCTCACGGTCAGACAAGTGTGGAGAACAGGATCTTGCACCCTGAGTCACCTTCCTGCTGCCTGGTGGCAAATTTATTTTAAAGGATTATTGTAGCTTAGCATTGGTGCTGCCAGCCCAAATCTCGGTCGGTGCCAAGCCTGGCAGTGGTGTGAATGGTTTGCCATGAATGCTCAGGAGGAGGATGAGTTTCATGCAAAAGGGAGCTCTCATTCCTGCTGCCTTTAATGCACAAGATCTTTGGCAGCCTGAGAAACCAGAAGCTGGGTGTCATCTTGCACCATTACTATATGCAACTTCCTTACTTCCTTCACTTGCTTTGATGTGCTGCAGTCAATATTTCGTAAGAAGTGGCTAAGATCATTATGCCATTTTTCAGCTCATGTTTGTTAGTTTCAATTTCTGCTGGCATAGTAGCTGAATATAAAACCTTATTTTCTTCACACAAGAATTCAATTTCTTTCTTATTTCGCTTCATAAATAAGTCAATGTATGGAATTGTATTACAAAAGCCCTACTAAATAATAAATAATGCATTTGGTCTGCCACATGATTCTGTGCTTGTCTCTTTGCCCAGTGCTCCTCCAATTCACAAAATGGGTTTTGTATCGTAGTGCATGTAAGTTTAGATTCTTTGCTGTACCTTTCATAAAACTCAGGCCTGTTGGGAACTAGATGCTTCTGCTAAGAGTTTATATAGAGCAGTATCATACAGAGCAAAAAAGTCTTTATTTATTTTACAAAGTCTCTCTGAAGTTTTAGTTACGTGATTTGGTTGTTTTTTTGGTTTTTTTTTTTTTTTTTTGGTTGGTTTTTCTTTTCTTATGAGATAATGAAGTTTGGAGTTGGTAAGCCCCCTGACTCTGTCACATACAGATTGTGTTTTGAAAGAACTTGCAAAGGTGCTAGAGGAGCTCAGAGTTTAGCTGTTCTGTGTCTGTTGTATGCCTCATCTATATGAACTCCATCCATATTATTTATGTGCTTCAGGAGACTGTGCTGGAAAGGGTCTAGAAAGCAGTTTGAAAGAAATGTTTGTTTGCTGTTTGAACTATCCAGGTGCTTGCAAGGGTAATTGCAGCCAAAACTAAAATGAATGATTGTTTCTCTTCAAAAGCTTCTACTGCCTCATCTGCATGTGCATTATTATGCTCAAACTAAATAGAAAATTGACCTAAAAAAATCCATCTGGTGTTGACAGTATCATGAGTGATTCTTCCCTAAGACTCCCTCAACTCTTGTTTATGTCAGTGACAAAGGTTCCAGCTGATCTCAAGGCAGCACAAGAAGTGAGGGGAAATCAAGGCATTAGTAGAACATTCTAGAGATACCTATGACAAAACTCGATTGTGAGAAGATGGTGAGCCACAAGCTTTTGGCACAAGGCCAGGACAAAATGCAGAGGAATATCTAGAGGCCCTTAAAAAGTTCTGTCTTGAATATGCCATGAAAGAGATTAAGGCACCCTCGATAGTAGAAGATATCCTGACCTGTGAAAAGGCAGAGGTGGGGAATATGGTGAAGGGGTGTGCACATTATGAGTGGGAAAAACCCCCAAACTTTGCAGAAAATGCAAGCAAACAGATAAAGTGGAAATAAACGATCTTTTAGGAACTTTGAAATTGCAGAATTGTCTTCAGATTTTTCAAGGTGAGAGAGGTATTCAAAGTAGTAGGGACTAATAAGGAAGCACCACAAGGCTTTGAACACCAGAACACCAATGCTGAAAATCTGGTTAGCTCAGGAAACGACACTCTAAGACAAGATAATATTCAAAATATAGAAGTCTGCAAGCAGAATGATGATGACGAGGATTGCATTGTAGGAGAGAAAGTTGAGTGCCATCCAGAAATCAGTGAAAACAAAAGTTCCAAAGAGTGGATGGCTCTGAGCAGAATGATCCAGGGGAAGAGAAACTGGTCTGTTCAGGGAGGTACATGGGCTATGTAATACACAGAAAGAAAGAAAGAAAAAAGTTTCTTAAATAAAGAATGAGAAAAGTCAATTCTGTTGTTAGTGCCTCAGAAAAGTGAACTGCTAAGCTGCATAAGTCACCAGAGATGGCTGATCAGGGAAATTAGGCCCTTTTCAAACAGCTGTGAGCTGTTAGGTCACACTCCAGCTGTTAGTAAAGCGCTTTGTGATTCACAAAGCAGTGCTGGAATCAGTGGAGGCAGGTAGGCTTGGCTCCCAAAAACTTCTCAGGTGTGGTAAGATCAGTGATCTTAAACAACACAGGCCAAGCAATTAGTTTAAGGTGATAACTAGCACTAGATAGGATGTCTGTTATCTCTCAGTACCTTCCTAGCTTTCTTGAAGGAACTCATTAATGGAGTTAAAATGGCAGAAAGGGTCACAATAGGAAGATTTGTTTGGTGAACGCAGAGAATGGAAATTTGAAGAGTAAAGGCAACAGCTCCTGCAGACTGGTAAGTTGAAGTACTGATCCGTTTGTAGAAACCTGGCAAAAGCTGTGGCAATGGAGAAATGAGAATTACATGGATAGTAACAGGCAGTGCTGTGGCTGAGGTGGATCACCTTTTGTGCAAAGGCAGCTTGATCACAGAGGATAGAAATTGTTTAAGGAAACCATGAGGGATTGTGCAGGGGAGGTGTTCTTGGCTTATGCAAGGTTTCCACAGAGGGAGAGATAATCAACTTTCAGCCTGTGGTTTACAAGTCCCTGGGAATGTGTGGATTAATGGGCACTGGAACAGGGAAGTGGTCACAGCACCAGTCTGACAGAATTAAAGAAACATTTGGACAACACTCTCAGGGACATAGTGTGACTCTTGGGGTGTCTTGTGCAGGGCCGGGAGTTGGATTTGATGATCCTGATGGGCCATTTCCAGCTCAGCTTATTCTATGATTCTGTGATTCTAAGCCCATGCAGCACCTGTAAAAAAGCAAGTTTTACTGTCAGTGAATTTAGCATTTGTGAATGGTCTTGAGAAAGCAGAGAAGGGGATTAACAAAAAAAGGTTAGAAAGAGTGGCAGGTGTTGCAATTTAGTTCCACCTATAAATGAGTGGAGCAGATCTGTCAGATCTTGCAACTCTTCCTGGACCCTGTAACAAAAGTTGCTCTAATCATACACACCTGGTGTTTGCCTTCAATCAAAAATGTTGAATGTTGCTACCAAAGCTTTTAAAGAGCTTTTTAAATTTTCCAGTGTGTATCATCAGTACCTAAATTGAGGCTGGACTAAATAATGCTTTCATCATCCTCTAAATAATTT